TGGTGTGAATTATTTCAGTCATAATCCCAAGAATTCAAGTCAAAAACATGTTTCTTCATGTTGTCTGCGCTGAAATGAATCATGGGAGATGTAGTTTCCAATGTTTGTAAGTTGTTGCTACTGAAAAACCTGCATTTAATCAAAGGAACTTGTAAGACTTTTGACGATACGATATCACGATGTTTCGGTTATTGTTACATCCCTAATTTTTAGCAAATTAATTGTCACTAAATAATAGCATTTTCTTTATTATTACCTGGATGCATAGATACGTAGAGAGATAAATACTTATTAAATTATTATTATACACTTATGAATACTTATAAATTATTAAATTAATCCCAAAAAGGAGAAATTCAGGTGTCCGTTATCGTTATTTTTTAGGTGATAAGGAATCATGTGAGAACGTAGGGAGATACATCGGCTTTTAGAGCTTTTGCCACTCCCCCTTTCTGGTCGACTGCTGCCTAAATCCCAGACAGGACCAGGACTGAACCAGAACTAAAACAGGACCAAACCAGGTCTTAAGGCTGTGCAGTTAATGGAATTTTGATCGCGATTTCGATTTGTGTTTCAGACGATCTCCACACTCATATAATCGAGTTGAGACAATTTATAAAGCTTGACAATGTTTATTTTGGGATTTTTTTTAAATATAAATCAGTATATTCATTTATTTATTTATTTTTTTAAATATAGAGATTGTAGAACAGCTGGATATGGGCCTGGTCAAGCAGAAGTAAACAACAAGACCAAAAATTGATCTGATATAAAAATGTATTGAACAGATACATATGTACTCTAGTTTATGAAACAAGTTACATCCATTTTAAACAGACCATGTATGAAACATGGAACAAAAATTATTTCCCAAATTTCAAAGACCCAAAAATCATGTAAATAAATGGATGTATTTCATCATATCTTGTGTTATTCCATCTTTGAACTGTTGATGAAGGTTCATGATTTTTCAAATAAAATGTATTTAAAATGATGGAAGGACTGACATATTTTATAGAAATACTTTCCTTTCATTTTGAAGTAATATTAAAATATTTGGAAGAAAAAAGTGACAAATTATGTAAAATCCTGCACCTTCTACTTGTTTGTACAATTTTCCCTACGTTACTTTTCCCTCCGTTACCATGAACTTTCTTCATAAAAAATCTCATATGGTAGAAAACTATATGAAGCAAATATTCAAACCAGTTTGTTAAGGATATGTAAGTGAGAACCAAGAGTTATCACTGTTTGGATTTATTGACCAAAAAGTGCTGCATATTTCATTCCCTCCGTTACCGACATGAGTTTTTAAATTTTTTGTCAACAACTTGAAAGAATATCACAGGTTTAACTTGACCCTGTTGGAGTGTAACTCTTTCCTACATTCTGATACTTTACTTATTTCAATAGTTCCTCTAGTTTCTGAATAAGAGACATTTGAATGTCAAAAATCTGCCCCTGTTTCCCTCCGTTACCACTTGACCGGACACATATATAGTTTATTATGGATACATTTATGTTTTTCTTTGCCTTAACTTATATTTTTATTAATTTTATGTTTTATACATCGCAAAACTGATCTAAGGTTCAGATTTGTAGCCTTTATTTATTTTCAATTTGAAAGTTTTGCGTAAATTATCAATAACAAAGTGTTTTGTTTGTTTGTTTTGGATTGGATAAATGCGTCGTGTAACTGAACAGTAACCGTCTGAATAATCGTGATTTCAATATTGACCAAAATAATCCTGATTGTGATTTTTTTTTTTTTTTTCACGATCGAGAAGCCCTACCAGGTCTGCGTCAGGACTAAAGCGGACTCAAAGTAGGACCAAAAAGTACAAGTGTGGACGCACCTGAAAAGCTCTTTGTGGATCACCAAACCAGTGTCTGAGAGTTTAGAGCCTTGACAACAGCCATAAACTAAAAATGTTTTTGATGCGGACTCTAAAGTGTCTCTGTACGTGCTTGTTTGGCGTCATAACTCACCTCATTTAACGAGGCTTTAAACAAACTAAGAACTGATATAGGATTACGCCGCGTACAGCCGTGTCTAGTGTAAACCTGTAACATCACACGCCGAGGTCACGTTCACGCTCTAAAGTTTAATGTCATCGTTTCAGACGGCGGCAGGGGCCTGTCCAACTCTGACTCTCTGGTTTTAAAAGAAATCTCCAGCTTATGATGCACAAATGTTGAAACTTCTCATTATTTGTTTGGGACAAAGAAAATGTTGAAGAGACATGAACCATAAACCAGGTCAATAAATCCACAATGTGAAGGTTCCACAGCAAACTCCAACACGTTCATCAAATGTGTTTAGCTCCCAGGAAATATTAGCAGAAAATCACAGAAATTCTTTTATTATGCTGCATTTTTGTTTTTTTTGTTTTTTTTTGCCAGTTATGATAGTCATATATAGACGTGTAATGATACATAAAAATCACAGTTCTGTACGTACTTCGGTTTTGAGGTCACAGTTTGGTTCATTTTCAGTTCAGTTTGGGAACAAAATACAAAACCATTTTCTTGTTGTTTATTTGTGTTTTTATTAAACCGACAATTTATTTTAACATTATACAAATGGGAAAATAAAATAAGTGCTGCTTGGTAATAATAAGTTAAATAGAATATTCTCAAATAAGCAACAAATGTTTGAAATATTATAAAAACAATAAATTCCTTGTAAACAGAACTTTTCAAAAAGTAGTAGTAGAAGTGCAGCGCTAACAGGTCCAGCATGAAGTTTTACTCAATTTTCATATTTTTGGCCATAAAAACCAACTTGTCCACATCGTCTGCAGTGAGTACAGATCTGCTGCAGTTGTCCCCCCAACCGCTGGGGACGGTGTACGGTGGGGGGTTGTTGTCAAGGCGGCCGCCCTAACTATAAAGCGCTGCAGGAAACACTGGACCAACCCTAACCCCACAGACGAGTTCCTTGTGAATATTAAAGAGCTGTAGGCGTGCAGCTGCACATGTAGTGACTGAATGTAAACACACACAGATTGCGTGAACTCATCCCTGCACCAAACCAAACGTCCCCTATTGAAACTGTTGAGCGCAAATAGATGTACCACTGCACCCCGAGTCCTGTACCAGACTGGCATCTATAAACTGTGCAGCCAAGCATAGACATTTAGACTAATAAGTTCCTCAAACGTCCTAAGGCCTACACCAGGCATGTCCTAACTATGGCCCGGGGGCCAAATGCAGCCCTCAGACATATTTTTCTTGGCCCGTCAGGCTTCCAAGGTGAATTGGCACAAATGACCTTGCATCAATTAAAAAATACTTTTTTAGTGCAAGTTTTTTAAAAAATCTGCATTGATAAAGCGAATATTTAACATTTAGTGTTTGGTTTTAAGGATCTTAGCATGAGTAAAGACTGACGGCTCATTCTAACGTGTTAAACATGCACATATTTTAATTATTCACTGTATTGAGCTCCAGTCTACGGCCCTGGATCGACCCTCTGCTTTGTCTGTGTTTAGATATGTGGCCCTTGATGAAAAACGTTTAAACACCCATGGCCTACACCAAGACACATCATGACTTTAGAGCTTGGATCTAATTTAAACTGTTCCAGTGTGCTCGCAAACACAAGTCTTTATGAATAACTTTGACGAAAGTACGTGCATAATTCTAAAGTTTGTTGTCATTTTGGAGGTATAGACGTTTAGGACAAAGAACATGTTGAAGTTTGTGCCAGTTTTTGTTTCGTCTAATATTTTCATCTAATATGAACCGTAAACCAGGTCAGCGGCAAACTCCACCTGAGGACTCTGACCTGTCCTCGTCTCAGGGACTCTGCGAGGACTCTGCGAGGACTCTGCGAGGACTCTATGAGGACTCTGCGAGGACTCTATGAGGACTCTGCGAGGACTCTGCGAGGACTCTGTGAGGACTCTATGAGGACTCTGCGAGGACTCTGCGAGGACTCTGCGAGGACTCTATGAGGACTCTATGAGGACTCTGCAGGACTCTGCGAGGACTCTATGAGGACTCTGCGAGGACTCTATGAGGACTCTGCGAGGACTCTATGAGGACTCTGCGAGGACTCTGCGAGGACTCTGTGAGGACTCTATGAGGACTCTATGAGGACTCTGCGAGGACTCTATGAGGACTCTGCGAGGACTCTATGAGGACTCTGCGAGGACTCTATGAGGACTCTATGAGGACTCTGAGACTCTGAGGACTGAGGACTCTATGAGGACTCTGAGGACTCTGAGGACTCTGAGACTGAGACTCTGCGAGGACTCTGCGAGGACTCTATGAGGACTCTGCGAGGACTCTATGAGGACTCTGCGAGGACTCTATGAGGACTCTGCGAGGACTCTGCGAGGACTCTGCGAGGACTCTGCGAGGACTCTATGAGGACTCTGCGAGGACTCTGCGAGGACTCTATGAGGACTCTGAGGACTCTGCGAGGACTCTGAGGACTCTGAGGACTCTGCGAGGACTCTGCGAGGACTCTGCGAGGACTCTATGAGGACTCTATGAGGACTCTGCGAGGACTCTGCGAGGACTCTGAGGACTCTGCGAGGACTCTATGAGGACTCTGCGAGGACTCTATGAGGACTCTATGAGGACTCTGAGGACTCTGCGAGGACTCTGCGACTCTGCGAGGACTCTATGAGGACTCTGCGAGGACTCTGCGAGGACTCTATGAGGACTCTGCGAGGACTCTGCGAGGACTCTGTGAGGACTCTATGAGGACTCTGCGAGGACTCTGCGAGGACTCTGCGAGGACTCTATGAGGACTCTATGAGGACTCTGCGACTCTGGAGGACTCTGCGAGGACTCTGCGAGGACTCTATGAGGACTCTGCGAGGACTCTATGAGGACTCTGCGAGGACTCTGCGAGGACTCTATGAGGACTCTATGAGGACTCTGCGAGGACTCTGCGAGGACTCTGCGAGGACTCTGCGAGGACTCTGCGAGGACTCTGCGGTGTTGTGAATCCAATCTCTGAACTCGCATGTGTTTTTATTTGGCAGGCGTACAGGCGGCATGGGGACACGGCAGACGAGGACATGGAGACACGAGAGACACACGGGACACGGGACTGGGGCCAGGACGAGGCCGGAGACGGGGGACAGGCTGAGGACGACCAGGTAAGACTCGGATAAAAACAAACTGTACCTTTAGAGTTAAATCCAAATCCAAAATAACGTCCACAACCACAAAAACGAAGAAAAGTGAAGTTAATTTGACTTCTGTTCTACTCCTGCTCTACATGTTCACTTTTTACAAGATATAAATATTAGTTTGAGATAATTTCAAGTTACGAGCTTCTTTTATCCACGGCTCATAACTTGAAATAATGTGCTGTAAGTTAGGCTTGGATTGGTCCCAAAGAAGCTCTCCGTTCCAAACCACAGCCGCGCTATATCATATGATATGTGCTATATTTAAAACGGACGCATCTAGAGCAAGTCTGGACGTTAAAGACGTTTAAAGTCGCACAGTATGTCTTTTAAAATCAACTTTCTATACGAGAACAAATACCTGTTTTAATGAATAACAAAAAAACTCAAAATCCATGAATAAAAAGTCAAATAAATAAGTAAATGTTGAATTAATTTTATTTATTTATTTTATTTATTTTGCTAAAAAATCTATCTTCAACACTATTTTATTATTATTTATTTTGTTTTTTTAGGTGATAAAAACATTTGATATACAACTCTGGAAAAAAAATAAGAGACGACTGCAAAATGATCAGTTTCTGTGTTTCATTTTATAAACTACTGACAACATTTCTCCCAAATTCTGAATAAAAATATTGTCATTTAGAGCATTTAACTTGCAGAAAATGACAAATGGTCAAAATAACACACAGTTTTCATGCGTCTTCCACCCGCCTTGTGCAGATGAGAGGGTCAGAGGTCAGAGGGTCGGAGGTGAGCGCCAGGGAAACATTAGCTGGACTCTTCTGTGAATGAAACTGTAGAGTCGTGTGGACAGGACAGGAGCGGTGGTCGTCTTCTCCGAACACGCAAATCTCACCGTGGACAAAACTAGGTCACGTTTCTGTTCATGTACACACAGTTTTTGAACACTTCGTTAAAGGTTGTATAGAGGATTTTTTTAAGGGAAGAGAAAAACAGCGACAGTCCTTGTGCGCATTCAGAATTACTGTTGAAGTTTCCTGTTTAGAAGTAATTCAGCGACCGACGCGTCAGTTTTTAGACCCTTCGTCTGCTTCGGTCGCGCCATCGCTGGACGAGATCTCCAAGAATCACCTCAGTTTGGCTTTGCTCCTTTTCCTCTTCTCTTCTTCTTTCACCGACCTCAAAAAACTGACTTTCTTTTGGGGCGAACCGGTCGTGGATTCTCGTCCGCCGGCGCGACAAACTTTGTGCGAAATGCGAGGAAGCGACAGTTCGAAAAAGCCTCTAAGAACCGCTGCGTAAACCACGTAATCCCCGCGCTCCGACGAGTCAGTTACACTAGGGAGTTTGATTGACAACCTAACAGCCAATAGAAAATGAGGGAGTCTCGTTTTCTATTGGCTGATGTTTATCTGGCCTCAACACGTCCACAGTTGATAGATTTTCGTTCTTTTTTTTTTTGGTCGTCATAATTACAAAGCTGCTGCGTCTCTGTAATGGTATTTTAATCTTTCACTGACAGTTTGAAACAAAAAAAAATCCTCCATACAACCTTTAACTTGTAAATGAAGTGAGACGAGCGCCGGTAAATGTCCATGTCCATGTTCGAGATGAGCTACAACCCACTGCCGAAAATAAAAATACAATAAAAACACAGAGCACGCTGCAAGTTGTATTCTGCATTCTTAAATCTGTTAATACTGCGACACGAGATCCTGTTTTTAGTTAGAATAACTTGAAAATAGCAAACTGTTTCATGTACAATTTTATGTTTACTTCAAATAAAAGCATAATAAAAAATAAAAAAAAAGTTAACTAGTTTAGACTTTTAAGAAGCCATTTAAGTTCTCCTTTTATTCACGTTATCCAGAGTAATGTAGTATGTTGATAATGTCCTAAATGTGTAATTTAGCCAAGACCAGATTGATATGTGTAATACTGTGACTTGAGTTCTAGAGATTTATCAGTCTTAATGTTTAAAAGAGTATTTATTTAATTATTTAATTCATAAAGTGTAAAAAGACGTCAACAGTGTCACAACGTCAAACATACAAGAAATGAACGAAAATTAGGCACAATTATTCATCAATTGCAAATAGAAATCTTCACTTTTATGCACAACAACTTAGTTTTCTTTTTCATTCATTGCGCTCAAGTACAACGATGGCATTTAAAAAACACATCAAACTGATTCTTTGTCAAGACTCTTCCAGAAGTGAACTCCTTTCACATCGACGCTTCGCTCCATCATCTTGGTTCTGAATCTGTTTTTTTTTTTTTTTTAAACATGTAGGTTCCTTTTAAATTGTCGTGGCGTGTTCAGTCTGTGATTATTTACAGATAAGTCTCCTCAAATGTGTGTATAAAGCAAAGTGCAGAGTGTTAAGTCGACAATATCCTGCATTTTTAACACTTTAAGTTGAACAAATATTGGGTTGGATCATGTCTCTTTACAATGACTGTTGGTGACAATTCTCAAGGCCCTTTTCTGTAAAATAAATAATGGTTGTAAATGTAAATAAGTTTTACACGTTGAATGGTCTGGGTATCGTTAAAAAGTAGCAGATACGATACATACTGCGATACATATGTTTTTCGACTCAGTATGATTCAATACGGTTCAGTAAAAAATAGGCTAAATCATGTCTGTGATACTAAAAATCTTTGTAAAACCACTAAGTTTTTTACAAAGTTAATATGAAAAATGACCGTTTTACTCAAAACTGTGAATATGTCAACACAATTGTAGCTCTAACACACAGGTGTCAAACATACGGCCCGGGGGCCGGATCCGGCCCTCCAAGACCTTTAATCTGGCCCTCGACTGATTTTCTACTAAAATATTTTCATTATATTTTTATTAAAATCGTTGTTAATTTTCTGTGGTGTTTATCACAGCAGCGTCTCCAGCGTCTCTGTACGTGGCCCCTCCCACCAGAGCAGCACAAATGAAGACTTGTCTCTTTCCAAACGCTCTTAAAGGACGATCGTTTTGACTGTTGACCGTGACACCCTCATCAGAAAAATGTCCAACATGAGAAAAGTGGAGCCGAGTGCAGGATTTTACAACAAAAACTGACTTATTCCTGTTTACATACAAGTTCATGTTAAAACTTTGTGTTGAAATTGTATTTTTCTTAAAGTTTCAGGTTGTTCATAATATTATAATATTTTGTAAAAGAAAGAGTTCATCAATTAAAAAAGATTTCTGTAGTAGATTTGTGTTTCTCTGCACAAATATTTGAACTTATTGTTATTTTTGGGGTTTATATGACATGAGTTTTCTGATCCGGCCCCTTTAGGATCAAAGTCGGTTGGACACGGCCCCCGAACCAAAATGAGTTTGACACCACTGGTCTAACAAAATCAATTTAGTAAAATATACCTAAAAAAATACTCAGCAGCCCACGATAACGATGCTGTATGATCAAATTCAACAAGATGATATGTCGATATTTCAATATTTTTGGACATCCCTACTGAAGAATGAGTTTACATTGAAACCTCTTTTTTTTTTTTTTATTCCAGAGCTCTGCGTCTCTGCAGGAGTGTTTACGTCTGCTCGAGGCCTTCCCCCTCACGCAGGAGCAGCAGGTACGTCCAGAGAACGATAAACGAGTACAACAATCTACAATTTATTTATTTATTGGATCATCGTTAGTCTTTACTGTATGTGTTTAAACCTCTACTCTGAACTATGTGTAAGTAACTACGGCGCATGTTTGACAGGAGCTGGTGTGTAACTCAGGAGCCCAGAGCACAGATCTGCCTCCTCCTCCTCCTCCTCCTGCTGCTCACGGCTCGACGTACATGGAGCAGCAGTGGCAGGACCTCCTGGACCTGCTGGAGCCTCAGGTGACACACACCAGCGTACGGATATTTGTCTCAAAACGGATGAACAGTAGAAATGATCCCACGGCAAATAGAACATGTAGATAGAACGAGTCAAAGTGTACAACCTCAGTTATTACTATTATATTAAATTCAAAACGTTTATTGTCAAGTTTCCATCTGAACATACGAAAAATTTAAATTACATTCTCACTCTGTCTTCTAAAATAATAATGCAGTAAAATGAAAAGTCCAAAGTATCTGACATCTAAAATATAAAACTAGAACTTGTCAATCTCATTTTGACATCATCATTAAAATAATATCTGACATTATTTGAATAAGTTTAAGCTTTTACTTTGAGAGTTAGAGGTGAATATAAAGAGGAAAGACAACAGTGACGAGCTGCTTCTCTCTGTAGAATCCTGACGTCGACATGGAGAGTTTCCTGGAGCAGACTCAGCTGACCCCAGCGGCACAAGGAGGCCCTCTAATGGACGACTTCCTGCAGCACGGTGAGAACAACACATGAACTGTAGAGTAACACTACACTCAGACTGCAGCCTCAAGTGACTCACATCTGATTTTTTCGCTCCTATGCTCCTGTATCTGATCTTTTACTGACAGACCAGACAGAGTTTTTTCAAATGCGACTCAGGACACTTGGATATGTGCTCCTAAAACCGATACATATCTGATCTTTTGACATGTGACTTCAGTCTGAACGGCCATTCATCCACCTACACGTTATCAACAAGACCACAAACGTCACTATTCTGCGCTGAAGTAGCAGAAACTGCCACTGCTCCACAAAACACCACGGCCAAAAACCTTCTCCTTAAAACAAATAATCTGTTCTTTTTCTGGCTCCGGTACGACAGCAACTTTAAAATCTCCAGATGCTCAGTGTCCATGTCCTGAGACACTCCTTGTGAGTGATGTCATCATGTGGGCACTTTTGGGGTGTTTAATGTTCACACTGATCACATACAAGTCACATTTAATTAGAAATGTGACTTCGCAAAAAAATCTGATTTCACACAAAATGTTTTGACATTGGTAGTCTCTCTGACATTTGCATGTTGCTTATGATCTGTTTAGTTTATTTTTTCTTGTTTGACTTTATACAAGAGCATCAGCTCTTTAAACCAGAGGGGCTGGGGACTGGTACACAACCCCCCCCCATACGCCGGGCAGGCCGTGCCTCTAAACCAGGTCTAAACCAGGTCTAAACCAGGTCTAAACCAGGACTTAAAACAGGGCAATACATGGACTAAACCAGGTCAAAAATGGGTCTAAAAAAAAGGACTAAAACAGGGTCTAAAACAGGTTTAAAAACGGGGCTAAAACAGGTCTAAAAAAAAGGACTAAAACAGGTCAAAAACGGGTCTAAAAAAAGGACTAAAACAGGGTCTAAAACAGGTCAAAAACGGGTCTAAAACAGGTCAAAAACAAGACTAAAACAGGTCTAAAAAAAAAAAGACTAAAACAGGTAAAAAATGGGTCTAAAAAAGGACTAAAACAGGGTCTAAAACAGGTTTAAATACAGGTCAAAAACAGGTCAAAAACAGGTCTAAAAAAAGACTAAAACAGGTCAAAAATGGGTCTAAAAAAGGACTAAAACAGGTCAAAAACGGGTCTAAAACAGGTCTAAAAAAAGACTAAAACAGGTCAAAAATGGGTCTAAAAAAAGGACTAAAACAGGGTCTAAAACAGGTCAAAAACAGGTCTAAAACAGGTCAAAAATGGGTCTAAAACAGGTCAAAAACAAGACTAAAACAGGTCTAAAAAAAAAAAGACTAAAAAGGTCAAAAACGGTCTAAAACAGGTCTAAAAAAAACTAAAACAGGTCAAAAATGGGTCTAAAAAAAGGACTAAAACAGGGTCTAAAACAGGTCAAAAACGGGTCTAAAACAGGTCAAAAACAAGACTAAAACAGGTCTAAAAAAAAAAAGACTAAAACAGGTCAAAAACGGGTCTAAAACAGGTCTAAAAAAAGACTAAAACAGGTCAAAAATGGGTCTAAAAAAAGGACTAAAACAGGGTCTAAAACAGGTCAAAAACGGGTCTAAAACACGTCTAAAAAAGACTAAAACAGGTCAAAAATGGGTCTAAAAAAAGGACTAAAACAGGGTCTAAAAACAGGTTAAAACAGGTCTAAAACAGGTCAAAAACAAGACTAAAACAGGTCTAAAAAAAAGACAAACAGGTCAAAAATGGGTCTAAAAAAAGGACTAAAACAGGGTCTAAAACAGGTTTAAAACAGGTCAAAAACAGGTCAAAAACAAGACTTAAACAGGATTTATAAGGGTTAAGGTTAAAACTGGTCCGTGGCGCAAAAAAGTTTGGGGACCACTGTTCTTAACGACCTGATTCATTTGCATCTTGACAACGGCATAACAATTTTATACAAATATACAAATCGGACAGGGACATTTTTAAAAACACTTTCGAATCTAAACGTCAACTTTAAAACGCGACTGGCTCTACTGGACATTAGTTTCCCTCCTTAGAGCTTGAACCGACTCATCTTCCATCTCCAGGTGCAGCAGGTTCAGACCAAGAGCTGCTCCCCCTGCTGCCCAGTGACCAGCTGGACGACCCCGCGCCCTCCCCCCTCCTCCTCCCGCCGCACGGCCCCTCCCTGCTGCTGGGCGACGAGGACCTGGACGGGGAGCTGGACGGGGAGCTGGAGGAGCTGCTGGGGGACGCGCAGATGCTGGAGGAGATGAGTCTGCTGGACCTGGCTCTGGAGGGGGGCTTCGGGGACGAGCTGACCGAGAGGCTGGAGGAGCACGGGTACCTGGACCCGGAGCTCACGCAGCGCACCAGCCGGCTCAGCCTCATCAGCGGGGACGGGAGCAGGACGGGAGCAGGGACGGGAGCAGAGACGGGAGCAGAGACGGGAGCAGAGACGGGAGCAGAGACATGGAGGAGGAGGAGGACATCCACACCATCCAGCCAGGTAACGTGGGAGTATATTATGCTCTTTGGGGGATTTATTTATAGATGTATTAGGGTCCTGCACAGGTCCATTTTTTGGAGACCTGCACCCGCCCGTTAGAGGTGAGATCGGGCCTAAAAAATCCAGCCCGACCCGACCCGGCCCGCGGGTATTAAAACCCGACCCGGCCCGAGCCCGACGCAAACCCGAAATGTCATATTTTATTTGTGACTCGGGAGGAGGAGCAGTGCTCAGCGTCGAGGTGCCAGTCTTTTTGCTCTCGTATGAAAGCAAAGCGCCACATTGACGACATTCAGCGAAGCCAACGCAAGTTTCTGTAGCATTTTCAACAATCAATTTGAAGCTTTTCCACACCTCACTCTTACCGGTGCGTGTTTGTCTTTTCAGTTCTCCTGCCTTTAGTTTAACTTCTTGCTCCTCCATATTGGGGACACCAGGTCAAAATAGATGCAGACTTGCGGAGGGGAAGATGATTAAATGAAGAGGGGGCGTTCACGTGGATCCTGTTTAGTAGTTAAATAGCAATTACATTACATTACTTCTCTGTTTTATCCATATTATTTATTTTATAACAAGTATTCCTTAGTTTAGTATCCACACATCGTTTTAGCATACATTTTATAAACATATATTTATTTTTTTTAAAAAAGTCAGCTTGGGCTCGGTCTTAAGATCTTACCTCTACCGCCCGTTAACCCGAGATTATATCAAAGTTAAACCCACACCCGCCCAAACCCGTTAATATTCCACCTGTTTCCCGCCTGTGCCCCTGATAAATCACACACAAGTCAAAATGATTCTAACTGAAGCAGTCATCAGAATACGAATTGAAAAGTTACGACTTCCAGGAATTACAGTCACAAAATGAAATGAAACGGTTGCGTTTTCTTCAGTGCGAATATAAATTCACAAACGCGACTCGACTGTCAAAAAAACATCACTTCACAGGTTTTATTTACTGAGCAGGAGAAACACTGAGAGAGACGCTCGACTTCTGCACCGTAAACACCACAGACTGAACCAGGACTGAACCAGGTCTGAAACCAGGACTGAACCGGGACTGAACCAGGGACTGAACCGGGACTGAACCGGGACTGAACCGGGACTGAACCAGGACTGAACCGGGACTGAACCAGGTCTAAACCAGGTCTAAACCAGGTCTGAACCAGGACTGAACCAGGACTGAACCAGGGTCTAAACCGGGACTGAACCGGGACTGAACCAGGGACTGAACCGGGAACTGAACCAGGGACTGAACCAGGACTGAACCAGGACTGAAACCAGGAACTAAACCAGGACTGAAACCGGACTGAACCGGGACTGAACCGGGACTGAACCAGGACTGAACCAGGACTGAACCAGGACTGAACCGGGACTGAACCGGGGGAACTGAACCAGGACTGAACCAGGACTGAACCGGGACTGAACCGGACTGAAACCGGGACTGAACCGGGACTGAACCGGGACTGAACCGGACTGAACCAGGGAACTGAACCGGGACTGAACCAGGACTGAAACCAGGACTGAACCAGAACTAAACCAGGACTAAACCAGGGACTGAACCGGACTGAACCGGAACTGAACCGGAACTAAACCAGGACTGAACCGGGACTGAACCAGGACTGAACCAGGACTGACCAATCCATAGGACTGATTCCAGAACTAAACCAGGACTAATCTAGGACTGATTCCAGGACTAAACCAGGGTTTAGGTTGATTTAGGACTGAGACTGGGACTGGACGAGGACCAGGACTGAGACCGGTTTAGACCTGGTTTAGTTCTGGTTCAGTCCGGCATCGCAGTTTAAGTCACGGAAACGGGAAAAGGCCGTTATGTTTTTGTTTTTTTTCATTATTCATTTAAACACAAAATCAAAAAAATGAAAAAACAAATCGTTATCCATTTTTTCATTTTGGTTTCGGCGACAATGTCCAAAATTCCGAACTGTCCCTTTAACTTTTGTATCTCCACTGACAAAAGCAGATGATGTCAACAGATCTCGAGTCTTTGCACCAGTTAAGAGTTTTACGTGTTATATTTTTGGATAATTTTCATAGTTTTAATGTTTGTTTGTTTTGCGCAGACGCCGAAGAGGAGCTGGACTCGGACTCTGGTCTTTCTCTGGACTCCAGCCACAGTCCCGCGTCTCCGAGCCACTCTGAAGCCTCCTCGTACTCCTCGTCGTCCTCGTCTTCGTCCGCCAGCAGACCTCCCCCCGCGGAGCTGCAGGTCACCGTCAAGGAGGAACCGCTGGACGAGGAGGAGCTGGGGGCCGTGGGCGGACGCCACCGCCCCCAGCTCCAAGACTCCAAACACGCCTTCTCCTCTCCCTTCCGCCCCGACCAGAAGCTTTTCGAAGGCTTCCCCTGGCTGGAGCAGATCAGCCACGACCACACCTACAACCAACCTTCACGATTCTCCGCGAAGATCCCCTCCAAGCATCTCAAGTCCTCGCCCAGGCACGACAAAACCGTACCACCTCCCCAAGCACGTCTGGAGCCGCGACGAGCGACGAGCCAGGGCCCTGAAGATCCCCTTCTCCAACGAGCTCATCGTCAACCTCCCCGTGGAGGAGTTCAACGACCTCCTCGCCAACTACGACCTCAACGAAGACCAGCTCAACCTCGTGCGAGACATACGGAGACGCGGGAAGAACAAGATCGCGGCGCAGAATTGCCGAAAACGTAAAATGGACACCCTTCAAGGTCTGGAGAAAGACGTGACGATGCTGAGAAGGCGTAAAGCGCGTCTCCTGAAGGACAAGCAAGAGGCGCTGAGGACTCTCCAGGAGCTGAAGCAGCGCCTGACCGGCCTCTACCACGACGTCTTCTCCGGCCTGAGGGACGGAGAGGGTCGGCCTCTGGATGTCCACGAGTACATGCTGAGTTTCGAGAGCGACGGGAGCGTGGACGTGGTGTCCAGGAGGCGAGGGAGCAAAGAGAAGAGCAGGCGGAAGCAGAAGGACAAGAAGTGAGGAGGAAGTAGACGGAGCGAGAGTCTGGGAAATCTTAGGAGAACACAAAAAACGTTCTGAAAATAGGTCTAAAAAAAAAAAAAAAAAGGTTGGGTCGGTGAAATTAAAGCTCGCCCAAAGAGACGGGAGTGAAAAGACCGGGAAAAAAATCAGGAACGGGGTGAGACATTTGTGGAGGTGTTGTAAAACTAAGCTCCTCAAAGTCTGGAGCGATGATTCTCGAGGGTGGTTCTCTGTGGGGATGATAGAAAACCCGGGGTAGAGACCGAGGCGTCGGCCCCGTCTCGCAACGCCAAAGATAATGAGCCCAAGGATGTTTCAATTCGAGGGTGTGAACCGGGAGCGGAGTGACTGGAATCGTGGGACTTGGTCAAAAATGTCTCAGAAAAGCCACAGGAAAAAAACAAAAAAAAAACAAATGCTGACTTTAAATAATGTCATGTTTTTCGCTTAAATCTCGTTTATGATCGTCAGAGGTGGGAACAAGTCGTCGTTTTGTAAGTCTCAAGTCCTAAGTCAAAAACAGGCGAGTCCAAGTCGAGTCTTGAGTCACTGGCCCGTAAATCCAAGTCCAGTCCAAGTCGTCTGCTTTGAGCTTCAAGTCATTTCAGGTCTTTAAATCAGGGGTGTCCAAACTTTTGTCATCAAGGGCCACATCTCTAAACACAGACGAAGCCGAGGCCGATCGAGGCCGTAGACTGGAGCTCAGTACAGTGAAGAATTAAAATATGTGCAGGTTTAACACGTTAGAATGAACCATCAGTCTTTATTCACTCTAAGATCCTTAAAACCAAACACTAAATTAATAAAAAATTTAAAAATTTCTTTAAAAATTTAAATTAAAAACACTAAATATTTGCTTTATCAAGGTAGATTTTCAAAAAAAACTTGCAGGGTCAATTCACCTGGAAGCCTGAGGGCCAAGAAACATGTGTCTGTGGGCCTCATTTGGCCCCCGGGCCATAGTTTGGACATGCCTGATTTAAACCAAAGAATCTAATGTAGCTTAGATTTTTTCAATTTATATGACTTTAAAAAAAACTGTACTTATAAAATGATAGTATATTTATATATGAGTATTTATAAAGTATAAGTAGCAAAAATGAAACTGTTTCCTTTTTAAATGTCTGGACGAGGTCTTTGAATCATTACAGTCAGAATAGAAAGAATTCAGATTTAAAAGTGCTTCTCAAGTGTCACAGGCCTCAAGACCGAGTCAAGTCCCAAGTCTTAGTCCATTTGATCAAGTCTCAAGTCCTAAAAACAGTGACTCAACTTTGACCAGTGTGACCATTTACGTTTACGTTTGTCAAAACCAGGACAGCGTACGGGGGGAGGGGGGCGGGGCCTCGTCATCGACACTGCGCGACTCTCACCTGGAAAAACTTTTTAATGTTTGTCCTGGTGAGGTTTGAGGTTTGAGGTTTGAGGTCCCTGACACCGACACCGACACATATGTGCTGCTTTGTACCCTGTGCACACGGACTCACACTTGTCTCAACCGGGACGAAAAGCGGCAAATTTCTGGTACAAATTATCGTTAAATGTGCATTTGTGTCTCGGCGCGTTGCAGACCGACCGACTGTTTGCGTCTCGCTCCTTCTGAGTCGCAGACGCTACGAGAGACGCTCAGTTTAAATGTCCCGATGAAAGGAAATCAAACCTGAACATTTGCATCACTTCGTAACAAAACAAAAACGTACGGCCAGGACAGGACATGGAAATCTGACATGTCCAGGAAAAAACAAACGTTCGGTCACCCCCAAGTCTGACTCAATCCTCGGTTCCCACCTCTGATTATCGCAATTAAAAAAAATACATTTTAATTTAACGTAAAATAAAACCAGAAATTATGTTTTGGATAAATATTTTAGAAAAGGATGACATTATAATTATGTGAAATTCCTTTTTACTTTATTCTTCACTATAAAAATGAAGCTTTTTTTTTTTAGTTTTAATATTTTTTAGTCTAAATTAAGATTTTTCTTGTTTGTCTAAATTAAGATTTTGTTTTTTATTGAAGTTATTTTAGCTGATATGGATGTGTTTTGTTTTTTAGTTAAATTTTTGTATCTCAAAATGCCTTGTATCTGCTGGAGTTGGACACAAACACGTGAAGAAGCCCGGGTTGAATGATGATTTTACCGACAATATTTAGTGTCAAATGTCGTAAAACTCGTCCTGTTGTTGTGTTTATGGTTTTAGTTTCGGCGGTTCTTTTCATGCCAAGTACCACCAAGGACAAATATTTGGTTTCGGAGTCTAAACCTGGACTACGTCAGGGGCAAAACCAGGTCTAAAAGTGTCTAAATCGTCGCTTAACCATAATAAAAGTGGAGCTCATTAATAATTAACCTTAAAGTCGATAAAATGTCCCTCGATAAACAGGGTGCGTCTCCAGATTAAACAAATATTGACACTGCAGAGCGCCGTACGTCCATTTGAGGGGAAAAAAAAAAGCACCGTCGGCTTTTTCACGTGTTTCTGTTCACTACCAGGTTTGTGCAATTCGTTCTACCTCAGGAGACTTTGACTTTCGCACTTTTTTTTTTTTTTTTTTTTTTACGCTGGAGGTGGCTGGGCTGGACCAAGTCAAACTGTTTTCATTTTTTGAAGCCTCAACTTTTACGATCTCGTGCATGTGGAGATGTTTTTTTTCTTCTTTTGGTTTTCTTAATATGAAAATGAAAAAAGAAATGGGTTCTTCTCGATAAAAGTCAAATGAATGTATTGATTCAAATTGAATTTTTTGGTTTTGTTTTGACCGTCGGTGTAACTGGTAGCTGTAATTTTGACCCGAGTGCATCACAAAGATCTGTTTTTTTGTTTTTTTGAAAGTGCGCTGTATTTGATGTACGCCCCTGGACGGGTTTGTTTAAATAAAAGTTTTTATCTTAACAGTGTCTTTGTGAAAATATCTTCTAGACTTTTGGATTTAATGATACGACAGAATCCGTGTATCATTCGTTCATTCGTTTTTCAATATAAAACCAAAATAAGAAAACGAAAAAACAACAGTTTTCTTCTCTATTTGTCTCCAAAACCAAAATGAAAAAACGGATAACGATTCGTTTTTCAGTTTTCGATTTTGTGTTTAAATGAAGAATGGAAAAAATGGATCACGGCTGTTTCCCGTTTTCATGATTTAGGTGACTGCGACGCCGGACTTTTGCACCACATACGGACTGAGTCAGGACGGATCCAGGTCCGAGACCAGAGCGAGACCAGAGCGGACTGAGACCGGGACAGAGCTGCTCTGGTTCTCCGCGCTCAAGAACCGCGGCTGGTTCCGAGGTGGAGCAAAGCCTCCGACTGACGCATTCACACCAATGAAAATGAATCGAACTAAAAGCTTTTGGTTCAAATGGACCAGGTCCGGGACCAGACCGGGACCAGAGCGCTACTGAGACTGGGACCAGACCGGGACCAGAGCGGACAGAGACCAGAGACAAGACCAGGACCAGACCGGACCAGACCGGAGGCTCAGAGCCCACGGCAGGACCGGAGCTCGAAGCTGAGGCTCGGAATCAAAGCTCGGAGTCAAAGCTCGGAGTCCGCCCTGGTCCCGCCCTGGTCCCGGTCCCGGTCTCAGTCCCGGTCTGGTCCGGTCTGGTCCCGGTCTCAGTCCTTCTCTCAGTCCCGGTCTCAGGTCTGGTCTCCTCTGGTCTCGGACCTGGATCAGTCCTGATTCAGTCCGTATGCGGTGCAAAAGTTCGGCATCGCAGTCACGGAAGTCACGTAAACGGGAAACGGCCGTTATCCGTTTTTTCCATTCTTCATTTAAACACAAAATCGAAAACTGAAAAAACGAATCGTTATCCGTTTTTTTCATTTTGGTTTTGGAGACAAATAGGGAAGAAAACTGTTGTTTTTTCGTTTTCTTATTTTTGGTTTTATATTGAAAAACAAATAAACGAATGATACACGGATTCGACAGAGGGTCAGATAAAAAAAAAAAAAAAAAGATGCCAGCGCTACGAGAATAAAGTCGTAACATTTCGACATTAAAGTCATAATTTTACAGGGATAATGTCGAAGTCAAAATAAAGACGTAATCACGTAAAACCATTAAGCTTATTACAGGATTGCAACTAGAAGAAAGTTTTAGTGTGTTTTATTTGGGAAACTTACCAACCGGACTGAAAAAAAAAGACAGATTCCTTCTTCAGATACGAGAAGCAGCAGCGAGAAAAAGATCACATGAAAATGGCTCCAGGACAAACCTCCTGCTGTTTCAGAATGAACTGATATAATCAACGAAATTCAGATTATGGAACGAATAACATTTTCTTTAAGACAAAGGAAAACTATATTGGAAAAAGCGGAAATCTTACAATCAAAACAAAATTTAATGTAAAAATATTGTATATATCTTTGCAGATGTCACTAGCTTCATGGCCTCGTATTTTATTTCCATTTATTTTAAATTTTTTGGTCGGGCTTTTGATTTATTTAGTTTCACAATACTAATAATTTGTGTATGTAAATATGTGATGTGTGATATACAGAACTAAAGTGTTCTAATAAAAAAGTTTCAAAAATAAATAAAGACGTAATATTATAAGAATTAAGTCATAATTTTACAAGAATAAAGTCCAAGTCATTATAAAGTCGTAATATTATGAGAATGAAGTTGTAATAAAATCAAAGTCAAAGTGAAAAATGCGGCAGAAGAACTTTATCCGTGTTTATCGTTCGTTCATTTGTTTTTCAATATAAAACTAAAAATAAGAAAACGAAAAAACAACTAAAATTTTCTTCATTTGCTCCTCCGGACTTGAACCAGGACTGAACCAGGACTGAACCAGGACTAAACCAGGACTAAACCAGGACCGAACCAGGACCGAAAAAGGACCGAACCAGGATTGAACCAGGATTCAACCAGGACTGAACCAGGATTGAACCAGGACTAAACCAGGACTGAACCAGGACTAAACGAGGTCGAGGACCAGACTGGGACCAGACAAGGACTGACTCCAGGACCAAGACTGAGACCAGGATCAGACCAGAACTGAAACCAGGATTGAGACCGGACTGAGGACCGAGGCCGGGACCAGACCAGGACTGAAAATGGTTCAGTCCTGGTTCAGTCCTGGTTTAGTCCTGGTTCAGTCCTGGTTCAGTCCTGGTTTAGTCCTGGTTTCCTGGTTCAGTCCTGGTTCAGTCCTGGTTCAGGTCCTGGTTCAGTCCTGGTTTCAGTCCCCTGGTTCCTGGTTTAGTCCTGGTTTCCTGGTTCCGTATGCGGCGCAATATTCCCGCGTCGCATTTTAAGTCACGTTAACGCCTTTTCCCATTTCCCTGACTTAAACCAGGACTAAACCGTTTTCAGTCCTGGTCTGGTCCCGGTCTCAGTGCTGGTCTTAGTTCTGGTTTGGTTCCGGACCTGGTTTAGTCCTGATTCGAACAAAATGCTCCAAATTCTCCAGAGCTCCAGCCTCAGACTCAGACTTTCCGAGCCGCCGATATTCTCCTAATTTTACGACTTTATTCTCGTAAAATTATGACTTTATTCTCTTAGCGTCAGCATCTTTTTTTTATTTATTTTTTTTATCTGCCCCTTATACTCCGTCGTATGATACTGATGATTATAACAGCATTAATTTTTACCAATCATATTTAAAGGTACAATGTGTAACTTTTTGGAGGTTGTACGTCACCTGCATAATTCCACGGAAGTTTGAGTTTCTAATTACACAGATACAGAAATATTAAAGCCAAAGGAACATCCGTCCATTTTCTTTCACATATCCGGGGTCGGGTCGCGGGGGCATCAGTCTAAGCAGAGACTCGCAGACTTCCTTCACCCCAGACGCTTCCTCCCGCTCCTCCTCCGGGACCCCGAGGTGTTCCCAGGTCGGCCCAGAGACATAATCCCTCCAGCGTGTCCCGGGTCTTTCCCAGAACACTTTCCGAGGGAGAAGTCCGGGAATCATCCGGAACAGACGCACGGGCCCCCGCAGCTGCTCCTCTCGACGTGGAGGAGCAGCGTCTCTACTCCGAGCTCCTCCCCCGTCCTCCAAAGCTCACGACCACAGGTGAGGGGAGGAACGCAGCCAAAGGAATATTTCCGTGGAACTGGGAAAGAGGAGGTCCTCATCCAAACAAAGAGATTTGTGGAAATAAAATCACATTAAAGGTTTTATATTGTGTAAAACTGCAGCTGCGTCCTTAAAAACAAACCTGGAAATGTGTTTTATTTCATTCACACATTTGAGTAAATCTTCAGAGGTTAAGACATTTACTACAGAAAATGCTCTGATCCAACTTGTGATATAATTAAGTGGTAATTTTCAAGTTAAAGGTTGTATGGAGGATTTTTTTTTGTTTCAAACTGTCAGTGAAAGATTAAAATACCATTACAGAGACGCAGCAGCTTTGTAATTATGACGACCAACAAAAAAAAAGAACGAAAATCTATCAACTGTGGACGTGTTGAGGCCAGATAAACATCAGCCAATAGAAAACGAGACTCCCTCATTTTCTATTGGCTGTTAGGGTTGTCAATCAAACTCCCTAGTGTAACTGACTCGTCGGAGCGCGGGGATTACGTGGTTTACGCGGCGGTTCTTAGAGGCTTTTTCGAACTGTCGCTTCCTCGCATTTCGCACAAAGTTTGTCGCGACGGCGGACGAGAATCCACGACCGGTTCACCGCAAAAGAAAGTCAATTTTTTGAGGTCAGTGAAAGAAGAAGAGAAGAGGAAAAGGAGCAAAGCCAAACTGAGGTGATTCTTGGAGATCTCGTCCAGCGATGGCGCGACCGAAGCAGACGAAGGGTCTAAAAACTGACGTGTCGGTCGCTGAATTACTTCTAGACAGGAAACTTCAACAGTAATTCTGAACGCGCACAAGGACTGTCGCTGTATTTCTCTTCCCTTAAAAAAAAATCCTCTATACAACCTTTAACTACCTTTTTTTTTTAGTTAACTTCCTTTTTAAAGTCTGTCAAATCCAGCATTGAAATTATCAAAATGATTCTAGTGAAGGTGTAGAGTTTAAAATCACAGTGCAGCACTTGTATTACCATAAAACATCACAAGGTGGAACAGTGTTTTCTGTTTGAGAAAACTGAGCCTCAACTGTGCAGGGTTTGTGCGTTAAACACGTGAATGAAAAAACAACTCGACGAACCATAATCTAGATCAGAATATAGTACTTTTGAACAAACTTTGTACATTTGAGCTAAAAAGTTACACACTGTGGTTAATAATCCACATCATGTCAGTGTTTTTGTGAAGCCTTTTGCCATTTCTACAAGAAATATAATAACGCAGTGTAGTAAAAATGTTAGAATAGATCAGAGGTCACCAAACTTTCTTCTCTGGGGGCCACGTTATCGCTCCAGACTGTGATGGGGGTCGAGTCGGTCGTATAACAGAACAGTTTGACCCTGACGACGCAGATTATGTTCTTTAGAAAACCGCCAAACTTGGCGGTTTTTTAACATATCAGACAAACTACACGGCCCTTAGACTGAACACAAAAACAATCGGTCGTCCACTGTTTGTTGAAAACGTCGCACTGTCAAATTTTCGTACTTTAACACTCACCATTTTGCCGTCCTTCACTGCACCACAGAACTCTCTCTTGTGCGTCGACTGTCGATGTTTGATCTCGAGGTTGTCCAGTGATGAAAATTTGGCGGCAAATGTAAATACGCCATAATTACTGAAATATAAATACTTTATATAATTTTTTAAAAATGAAAAAAATAATAAAAAACTAAATACAAGATGCAGGCGTGTTATTATTCGGCAAAAAGTAATTAAACAATAAAATAAATATATAATAAATAAATAATAAAATAAACAATAAAATAATTTTAAAAAAGTAAAACACGGGCCTTAGTTTGATGACCCCAGGAATAGATGAAAATATAATTCAGATTCTAGAGTTTATGTTTAATGCTTCTTCATTAAAGGTTGTATGGAGCATTTTTTTTTTGTTTAAATTGTCAGTGATAGATTATAGATGCAGTCGCCTTGTAATTATGATGACCAAAAAAAAGCGAATAAAAATTCATCAACTCTGGACGTGGTGGGGCCAGATAAACATTTGCCAATAGATAACGACACTGCCTCGTTATCTGTGAGCTGACAGGCTGTCAATCAAACTCCCTACGTTTCTAGTGTAACTGACTTTGCCTGCGCCGCCGGTACGTGGTTTACGTACGACTGTCACACAGTCCACAGACGCAAGACGCACAGACGCTGTTTACTCCACCAACGCAACAGTTCTTAGCGGCTTTTTTTGACCTATATCTTCCTCGCAGTTCGCACAAAGTTTGTTGCAATGGCGACAAGAATCCAGGAGCAGTTCGCCGCAAAAGAAAGTCCGTTTTTGAGGTCGCTGAAAGAAGAAGACAAGGGGAAAAGCAGCGAAGCCAAACTAAGGTGATTCTTGGAGATTCATTCCAGCGATGGCGCGACTGAAGCAGACGAAGGGTCTAAAGACTGAAGCACTGGTCCACAAATTACTCCTGGACAGGAAACTTCTGCTTATTATGAAAACGTACTTTATTTCCAAGAGCGAGACAAACGTTTTTCAGGACACGAAAGCGATATCCTATGTCTGAAAACGTAATTTTCAAGGCAAAGAAAGAGTCCGCTTGCTGCTGCGTGTTGTAGTAGTAGCTTCATTCACACTGAATCTCCGCGCACCCTTCTCTGCACCCCTTTCCTGCTGCCCGTTTCGCTCTTCCCCCTGCTCCTCACGTCTCCGGCACGGAATCTCCGCACACACTCTCTCTGCCTCTCTCCCCTCCTCTCTCCCTCCTCTCCTCTCCTCTCCTCCCCTCTCCCTCTCCTCTCCCCTCCTCTCCCCTCTCTCCCTCTCCTCTCCTCCTCTCTCCCTCTCTCCCTCTCTCCTCCTCTCCTCTCTCCTCTCTCCTCTCTCCTCCCTCTCTCCCTCTCTCCCTCTCTCCTCCTCCTCTCCCCTCTCTCTCCTCCTCTCCTCTCCCCTCTCTCCCTCTCTCCTCCTCTCCCCTGTCCCCTCTCCCTCTCTCTCCTCTCCTCTCCTCTCCCTCCCCTCTCTCCTCCCTCCTCTCCCCCTCTCCTCCCTCTCCCTCCTCTCCTCCTCTCCCTCCTCTCTCTCCTCTCTCTCCTCTCTCCTCCCCTCTCCTCCTCTCCTCTCCCTCTCCTCTCCTCTCCTCTCCTCTCCCTCCCTCTCCCTCCTCTCCCTCCCCTCCCCTCTCCTCTCCCTCCTCTCCCTCTCCCCTCCCCTCTCCTCCTCCTCCCCTCCCCTCTCCCTCTCCCTCTCCTCCTCTCCTCCCCTCTCTCCTCTCCCTCTCCTCTCCTCTCCTCCCTCTCTCCTCTCCCTCCTCTCCCTCCTCTCCTCCCCTCTCCTCTCCCTCTCCTCTCCTCCTCTCTCCCTCTCCTCCTCTCCCTCCTCTCCTCTCCCTCCTCTCCCCTCCTCCTCTCCCCTCCCCTCTCCCCTCCTCTCCCCTCCCCTCTCCTCTCCTCTCCTCCCCTCTCCTCTCCTCTCCTCCCCTCTCCCTCCCCTCTCCTCTCCTCTCTCTCCTCCTCTCCCTCTCTCCCTCCCCTCCTCTCCTCTCCTCTCCCCTCTCCTCTCCTCTCCCTCCCTCCCCTCTCCCTCCCTCCCCTCTCCCTCCTCTCCTCTCCCTCTCCTCTCCCCTCCTCTCTCCCCTCCCTCTCTCTCCCCTCTCCTCTCCTCTCTCCTCCTCTCTCTCCCTCTCCTCTCTCTCCTCCTCCCTCTCTCCTCTCCTCCTCCTCACTCCTCACTTCTCCGTCTTGTCTAACCAACACTGTAGTTAGTTGTTTACAAGTCATGTGCAGCGGCTGTAAACAAACCTGTTTCTGGCGTAAGGAGGAGGAGGGAGGAGGTGTTTCTACGTAGGAGCTGTGGGGGAGGGGAGGTGGTTTCACACATGCGCAACATTTGAAAAAGGACAAACAGTCGCTGGATTTCTCGTTCCTTGGAAAATCCTCTATACAACCTTTAAGTCAGGGTTCCCACTCTTTTTCACTGATAAAACTTTTCCAAGACTTTTTCATGACCTAAAGTGAATTTTTCCATGACTTTACAGCACCTACATGAGTAGAACTGATCAGACTTTTAGTTCTAAATATGAAACGTTAACTCTTTTACACTCACCTTATGGTTTGGGATTATAGTTTTTAACATTCATAATCCTGTCAGTGCTTTTGTTGTTGTCGCAGACGTTCACAAATAATCATAATAAATTTGTGTGTCATTCGTTTTTCAATATAAAACCAAAAGTAAGAAAATGAAAGAACAACTATTTTCTTCATTATTTGTCTCCAAAACCAAAATGAAAAAACACATAACGATTCGTTTTTTCAGTTTTCGATTTTGTGTTTAAATGAAAAATGGAAAAAACGGATAACGACCGTTTCCCGTTTACGTGACGTCTGTGACTGCGATGCCGGACTGAACCAGGACTGATCCAGGTCTGGGACCAGAGCAGGACCAGACCAGGACTGAGATCAGAACTGAGACCGGGACCAGACCGGGACTGAGATCAGAACTGAGACCGGGACCAGAGCGAACTCCGAGCTTTGACTCCGAGCCTCAGCTTCGAGCTCCGGCCGTGGGCTCTGAGCCTCCGGTCTGGTCCCAGTCCCGCTCTGATCCCAGTCTGGTCCCGGTCTGGTCCCGGTCTGGTCCCGGTCCCGCTCTGGTCCCAGTCTGGTCCCAGGTCTGGTCCCGGTCCGCTCTGATCCCAGTCTGGTCCCGGTCTGGTCTCGATCTCAGTCCCGGTCTGGTCTCGGTCTGGTCTCGATCTCAGTCCCGGTCTGGTCCCGATCTCAGTCCCGGTCTGGTCTCGATCTCAGTCCCGGTCTGGTCTCGATCTCAGTCCCGGTCTGGTCTCGATCTCAGTCCCGGTCTGGTCCCGTCTCAGTCCCGTCTGGTCCCGGTCTGGTCTGAGTCTCGGTCCGGTCAGTCCCGTCTGGTCCGGTCCTCTCAGTCCCGGTCTGGTCCGGGCTCAGTCCCGGTCTGGTCCCGGGCTCAGTCCGGTCTGGTCTGGTCTGTCCCGGTCTGGTCCCGGGCTCAGTCCCGGTCTGGTCCCGGGCTCAGTCCCGGTCTGGTCGTCCCTCTCAGTCCGGTCTGGTCCGGTCTGAATCTCAGTCCCGGTCTGGTCTGAATCTCAGTCCGGTCTGGTCTGGTCTGAATCTCAGTCCGTCTGGTCTGGTCTGAATCTCAGTCCCGGTCTGGTCTGGTCTGAGTCTGGTCCCGGTCTGGCTCTGGTCCCGGGCTCAGTCCCAGTCTGGTCTGGTCTGAATCTTAGTCTCGGTCTGGTCTCGGTCTCAGTCCCGGTCCCAATCTGGTCCCGGACCTGGATCAGTCCTGGTTCAGTCCGGCATCACAGTCACAGACGTCACGTAAACGGGAAACGTCCGTTATCCGTTTTTTCCATTTTTCATTTAAACACAAAATCGAAAACTGAAAAAAACGAATCATTATCCGTTTTTTCATTTTGTTTTGGAGACAAATAAAGAAGAAAATTATTGTTTTTTCATTTTCTTATTTTAGATTTTATATTGAAAAACGAATGAACGAATGACGCACTGATTCTATTGGTCTAATGAGATCTTAAAAGAACCCTGGAGCTGAGTCCAAGACTTTTCCAGGATTTCCATGACCGTGGGAACTCTGAAGTCGACAAAGGCAAAAGACACAAGTTTACGAAAACAAAAAATACTTTATTGTAGAATCAACTTTATGAGACAGTAGCTAAATGAACCAAAGAACATGCAACGGGACGGCACGGACTAAACTACGTACAATATCGGAGAGCAGATAGAAAAGTGAATTAAGCTACGATACAGCACTGAAAAAAGAGAAGCGCCAAATATAACCGACGTAAAACACTGTAGAAAGATCTAAAATACTAAAGAAAACGCCACTCGATGACTTCCGGGGAAACGCCTGTCCGCCATTTTGTCCTATGGGGGAAAAAATACAAATAAAAAAAGTCGTCTGGTAGAGCCACGGTGCGCGAAGGTGCGTCGGGTTCGTCATCATGCAACACAGAAAAGAAAAATGGCAGAACAACACTGACTGGTCGAACGGGCAACATTCAAAAACGACGTTCGCCAATAGCAAAAAATACCCTCCTGGATGAACGTTTTAACTAACATGGAACATTCTACGAGCACACGACGAGCGGGGGGGGGTGACGCGGCGGAGGTGTTTGAACGTTGCCCGCGTGCAGCAGCCGAAAACACAGCGGAAAATTCGAAAAAAAAAAAAACAACAACGGGCGGGCGTTAAAGGAGACCCGTTGAATACTCGCGGAAGTGTTTTTAAAGTTTAAAATGTCGCGGGTTTCTCTTCTGGAAGTAAGATTTACGATGAGGAAATGTTAAAAAGGGGGTATTGCGCATAAATTTTTGATCACGACGTCATCTTTTATCGTTTTGAAACTGTAAAACGACGTGCCAATGTGTTTTAGAAGTTTCAGTTTCGTTTTGACTCTTGACTAAGGCGACGTTCAGACTGCAGGGATTTTATTGTGAAATCAGATTTTTTTTTTTAAGCGAGGTCCTTCACGTTTTCAGTGAAACGCGACTTGTACGTGTGAACTTTACGGAAGTCGCCAAAACGTTGGGCGAAATCCGGTCCAGTTCTTCGGAAAATGGACAGGTTACAAGTCCATGGCCGCTTCGTCCAACCTTCTCGAATTTGGCTCGCAGGCTTTTTATTTTTCGTTGACGTTCTCTCGTTCGGACATTTCGTCGACAATCATTTAAAAAAAAAAAAAAAAAAAAGCCCAATTCCGAATAAGACCTCTCCAATTTTGGACCAAATATTCATGAACTTGTTAACGTCGCTTTTCGTTCACGTTTCCGATTAATCTCCAGTGCGAACTTTAAACGCAAAAAGTGTCCGTTCAGTGTTCATGGAAGTCAACTAAACGCCGAGTTCATCTCACAAAATACGGTTAAAAACTAACAGGTTACACGTCCACGACCGCTTAGTTTGTTTGAGACTTTAGAGTCCCTGAATTTGGCTCGCAGGCTTTTTATTTTTCGTTGACGTTCTCTCGCTTGGACATTTCATCGACAATCATTTTAAAAATTGCCCAATTCCGATAAGACCTCTCCAATTTCTGACCAAATCTTCATGAACTTAACGTCGCTTTTTCCTTCGATCGACTCGACTCCGAGCCTGAGCCGTTCAGACTGAAGTCGCGCATCAAAAAAAATCGGATATGTGCTTCTAAAATCGATAAATATCCAAGTGTTCTGGGTCAAGTTTGGAAAAAATAAATAAATCAGATCCGTGTCGTTCAGACGCCATTAAAAGATCAGATACAGGAGAATTGGGGAGAAAAAAAATCTGATTTGGGTCACACTTCAGGCTGCAAAATACGGTCCAGTTCTTCGTAAAATGGACAGGTTACACGTCCACGGCCGCTTCGTTTGTTTGAGACTTGAGCCTTCTCGAATTTGGCTCGCAGGCTTTTTATTTTTCGTTGACGTTCTCTCGCTTGGACATTTCATCGACAATCATTTTTAAAAAATTGCCCAATTCCGATAAGACCTCTCCAATTTCTGACCAAATCTTCATGAACTTAACGTCGCTTTTTCCTTCGATTGACTCGACTCCGAGCCTGAGCCGTTCAGACTGAAGTCGCGCATCAAAAAAAATCGGATATGTGCTTCTAAAATCGATAAATATCCAAGTGTTCTGGGTCAAGTTTGGAAAAAATAAATAAATCAGATCCGTGTCGTTCAGACGCCATTAAAAGATCAGATACAGGAGAATTGGGGAGAAAAAAAATCTGATTTGGGTCACTTCAGGCTGCAAAATACGGTCCAGTTCTTCGTAAAATGGACAGGTTACACGTCCACAGCCGCTTCGTTTGTTTGAGACTTGAGCCTTCTCGAATTTGGCTCGCAGGCTTTTTATTTTTCGTTGACGTTCTCTCGCTTGGACATTTCGTCGACAATCATTTTTAACAAAAACGCCCAATTCCGATAAGACGCCTTCAATTTTGGACCAAATATTCACGAACTTATTAATATCGCTTTTCCTCGATTGACTCGACTTCGAGCCTGAGCCGTTCAGACTGAAGTCGCGGGTCAAAAAAATCTGATATGTGCTTCTAAAATCTATAAATATTAAAGTGTCCTGGGTCACATTCGCAAAAAAATTGGATCTGTGTTGTTCAGATGTCATTAAAAGATCAGATACAGGAGCATTTTTCGTTGACGTTCTCTCGCTTGGACATTTCTTCGACAATCATCTTTTAAAAAACGCTTCCGATAAGACGCCTCCAATTTTGGACCAAATATTCATGAACTTGGCTTTTCCTCGATTGACTCGACTCCGAGCCTGAGCCGTTCAGACTGAATTCACGCGTCAAAAAAAATCAGATATTTATCAATTTTAGAAGCGGATATCCAAGTGTTCTGGGTCACGTTTGAAAAAAAAATCAGATCTGTGTCGTTCAGACGTCATTAAAAGATCAGATACAGGTCACATACAGATGAAAAAAAAATCAGATTTGAGTCATTCAGGCTGCAGTCTCGACGCAGATTAAGTCGCTTCCCTTTCTGAACGTTATCGCGACACAATCGGCGCGCATCCTGTTTGCGAAACCAGAGCCAATCGCGTCCGGTTTGTGAAGCTGTAGCGTCGAAGCTCGTGCACACTTCAGAAAATCCCCCCAAAAATTTCCAAAAAACGTTGCGCATAAATAACACCCCCTTTTTTTAAAAATCTGATAAAACGTGAGCGCGGTGGGTCTCCTTTAACGCCAAATCGATTTCTTTAATGACGAGTCTTCACATTTTAACCGTTTCAGACCCACTCACAGCTCTGGCGTTTGTTCGGGGCGCAGTGTCCGCACGGGATCGTTTCTAAGCGGCCGAGTGAAGGCGGGACGTGGGCAGGTGCGCGTTAAAAAGTTAAAATGAGCTCCCCCGCTTCACTCGCCGCCGCCGCCGCTCCTCCGGGACACTCGAATCCGTTCACAAACCTTTTCCGTGGTGGTTACAATCAAGATTCGATGCAAATTGGAAGTGGATTTGTTGCACTCAAAACAGCTCGGGTTAAAATACTAGATGCTTTAAAAAGAAAAAAAAAAAAAAAAAGTGTCAATTTCGTCTTGTGTCGTTGGGCGGTTGGACAGATCCTTGCGTAGTTTTTTTTTTTTTTTTCAGAAGAAGGTTTTGGTGGCACATGAGGGGTGGAGTAAATGTCACTTGAGTCCATTCATGTGCTGATTGACATCCCAAACACGAAAAAAGACGGGCGCCCACACTGTCCGGGGGTTAGTCGGGACACTGTGGGCGCCGTCTTTTTGCCGACCGGTACCGAGAGAGAGAGAGAGAGAGGGGGGGCGCTCAGTCCTTCTTCTCCTCCTCCTTCTTCTCCTCCTCCTCGCTGGGGTACGAGTGCCAGGTGAGGCGCTCCTCGTAGAAGGAGATCACCACCTGTGGACACTTGACGTTGGCCTCCTTCGCCGGCACCAGGTCGGCCTCGTCAGAGTTTTTCCTGCGCAGGAGAGAAAAACGACAGGAGTGAGCGGCCGGGAGCTTTTAGTCACGTCATTATTAGAATGTTGTTCCTCTTCGTTTTGTCTGCAGGGTTTGTGTGTTAAATGTGTGAATAAAACAAAACAACTCCAGGTCTGTTTGTGATGAGGAAACATAACATAGATCAGAGTCCTGCAAGGGTCCATTTTTGGAGACCTGCACCTGCGCAGTACAGCACTGCACCTGCCCATTAACCCCTGATTAGGGCTGGTTCGATATGGATAAAAAAATATATCTCGATATCTGTACAGGAAAAAATAACCCCCTAAAACTGAAAACTGCAAAAACAAATCTGCCAAATTCTACAAGGTCTTTTTTTTTAATTGAAGTATAAGAGGTCGGCAGTTCATATAGGAACATTCAGGATTTAAAAAAAACCCTAATTACATAAGAAACTACAAAAGCAGTCAGAGAGCGCAGACCTCCGCCAAGGACTGCCCCCATTTTTTATATAAATTGCGATAAAATCAGTCTTCTGGATCAGATCCGGATCAGCCTTTGGAATATGAAAGAGGATTCCATTGTCCATCCCTGAGTCAAATTTCATGGGGTTTGGTCAATAATTAACCGAGATATTGAGAAACAAAATTTTTGGCCCCATTTACCACAATGTTAACTAAAATTTCAAAGTGATCCAGAATCCAGGATTTCTTCCGGATCACCCCCAAAATGAAATCAGTTCTTCCTTTTCACATTTCCAACAAATCCTGAAAATTTCATCAAAATCGGTCCATAACTTTTTGAGTTATGTTGCTAAAAGACAAACAAACAAACAAACAAACAGACAAACAAACGCCGGCAAAAACATAACCTCCTTGGCGGAGGTAATAATTTAACTGTAAAATAAAAGTAATAATAAATATTTCCTTCTTTTCAAAAATAAATAAAACAACTCAACTCAAGCTCATCTTTGCATTAACTCTGTAATCCAAACCAGAACCAGAACCATGAGCTCCTTCAGCAGAAGAAACTCAGGATGTTTCTTATTTTAACAGATCCATGTTCCAGCAGTGAGGAGCTCTGAGGTTTAATCCCACAATCCACTGCAGATCAAACCCAACAATTCCAAACTCAATTGTACAAGTGACACTGCAGTAGATTACTGATTAAAATCTTCTGTATAAATAAACTTTACATGACTAAACTTTACAACATATAAACCATAAAGACACTAGAGCCACATCAGCCCGTTTGACATTATAATGTGTTTTTTTTTGTTTTTTTTTTGGCAGCTTGGCGCAGACTTGTTTACGTTTTACAGAAACGAAACTTAAAAGTGCATGGCTCATTAGCATAAACAGCACTCCTCATGCCGCTCATGCAGTTCAGCTTCTTTCAGGCTAAAGGACGCGACTCGGTGGAATATGAGGATGTGCTGCTGATGGTTTTGTCTGTAAATGGTGGAAAAGGTTCGTGGTGCTAGAAGCTTTTCACTGGCACAAACTTTCAGCACTGACGGAGGCAGTGAGGAGTGAAGGAGACACGAGCGAACAAACTCAGGGAGGCGGGGTCGCGCGCACAGAGAAGGAAACAAGTGAAGCGGCGAAATCATAATTGAATATAAGGATTATATCGATATAAACGATATGTCAGAATTCATATCGAGTTTAAAAAATACATCGATATATTTAAAATATCGAGATATCGCCCACCCCTGATTATATCAAAGTTAAAGTTTCTGTAGTTTCTGTAACTGTGGGTACATCGCGTTGGAGATGGTTCATGTTTTCAGAGACGTTACTTCTATAAGTTTAGTAACCAGTTCATTGTGTTTACCTGCACCGTGATGAAACTGACACTGATGTGCACGTAAACACACTCACTGAGGTACAGTGTCTCCAAGGAGGTGCCAGAGCCCAAACGCCCCAGACGCAGCCTCGTCTCCTGACTCTACGCACAGAAACCTACATTTAGTTTGTTGACTAAAAATTAATGCTCGACAAAATTCTTAATGATCAATTATCGATTAGTTGTCTAATCGTGCCCATCTGTAGTAGGGACTAGGGATGGGCATGATTAGTCGATTAATCGATAATTGAATTTCATCGATTACGTTCATTTTAATCGACAAACCGAATGTAGGCGTCTGTGTGTATCGTGACCAAACAGGTGTGTACATGTGTCTCTGCATCAGAAGGAGCGAGACACAAACAGTGGGTCAGTCTGCAACGAACCGAAGCACAAATGTGTATTTAACGATGATTTGTACAAGAAATTCCACACTTTCCGTTGCGTTCGGGACAAGTGTGAGTCCATGTGCACAGTGTATAAAGCAGCACATATGTTTCGGTGTCCAGTGGGAAAAAGTTTTACCAGGTGAGAGTCGCTCAATGTGGATGACGAGGCCCCGCCTCCCTCCCCCCGTACGCTGTCCTGGTTTTGACAAACACAAATATGGTCACACTAACCTGTATTCACCTGAGTCATGACTTTTAATTCGACAGAAGTTGACCGCATCAGCGACACAAGAGCTGGAGTTTTATCTTCGCTGAGTTTATGCAAATTATCGATGTGGTTTTAAGTTTTGTTTCTGTGAGAGTTGCGCAAAACTGAATTAAACACAATATAATCTAAACCGGGCTGATGTGGCTCTAGAGTCGTTACAGTTTATATTTCGTAAAGTTGAATTTATTTATGCAGATTAGTCGTGCAGATAGTAATAATAATGATGATCATTTTAATATAAAAACGTTCATGATTAATCGATAATCGATCGTTAATTCTTCCGACGATCGATTAAGAAAATTTCATCGAATGCCCATCCATAGTAGGGACTTTTCTCTGACCAATGGGCTTGCACGGTTTTATTTCATTTTTTATTGTACGTAATAATTTTTAAGTCTATTTTTAAATAATTTTTAAGCCTTTATCTATTATCTGTTTTATTGCATGTTACCTTTTTCCTGCTGTTCTTAAATTGCACGTTGCAACACTGGAATTTCCCCACTGTTGGACTAGTAAAGGCATATCTTATTTTATCTGGTTTCTACTTTGTCGTCTCCTGCACTGTTTGTGACGCGGCGCCCCCCTCAGACCAGGAGTACATTCTATTTTCTCTCGGTTCGTTTCGTTCGAGCTGGAGTTCGGAGAAAACGTGAAACATCGCTGCAACTTTCATTTGGTGCAGATCAAGTTTTACTCCACAAAACTATTTCCTTTAAACTAAAAAAAGACGGGCCTGATCCGAATGTGTTACGTGGCTGTTATTTATCTCTCAAGTAACGACAGAACAGCTTTGTATGAATAAAATATCAAACATTCTGAGACTTTCTGGGCTGACCACGACCGTTAGTTTTAATACTTCAATTTATGTGTCTAAATCCAGGACATTTTTAACATCAGATCTCAATATCTGATCAGCGGAGCTTTAAGTTTCACACCTGTGGCTGTCGGGTCGGGTACGTCTGGGTGATTTGTTTTTATGTGATGTGACAAACTGAAGTGTTCGGTGTCAGATTTGTCCAGACGAGCCTTTGGTTTTCGTGTGAACTTGTGCGCTCACCACTTCATGAGGAACATGAGCTCTCCGCTGGAGTCTGTGGCCCCGATGATCCTCTCGGGCTGGAGACCTCGACCGAACCCTCGCGCTTTCTCTCCCTGCACAACACACACACACACACACACGTCAGAACACAAAAACACAACAGGCCGTCAATAGAAAATCAGGAAACAATGAAGAATGAGGGGATTTGGGGACAGAGACGCGAGCGCAGAGCAGGGGAGAAGTGTGTGAGTGTGTGAGTGTGTGTGTGTGTGTGTGTGTGTGTTGGGGGATTAGACAAAACCATTCGAGATTTTCTTGGAGCCAGACCAAGATTTGGATTTCGTCACGGTTCACGTAGACTTAGTATCTCATTCGCCACGTTCACATGAGGTTTTTTAATCCTGAATTAACTCTTTCCCCCATGAAGACGACATTTGACGACCCCCGTTTCCTTAATGACGACTTTTGACTCCTCCGCTGTTTCACTAAAGACGTGATTTGACGACCTTTAGAAATGGCTCGGTTTTTCACATTTAAACAGAGACTGTGATCGGTGGGGGCCACTACAACCCACACTAGACTGACCAATAGGATTCAAGGAGATGTTTTTCGCCGATTTTTTCCGAAGTTAATCGAAGTAGTGACGATGGTAGCTTCCGGAAAAAACACAACACGAAACACGTGCAATGGAAAGATCGCGGCGCTGCGGCGCACAGTTTTAGAAATAATGAGGAGCGGACGTATTTTATGGATAAGTTTAGAGAAAGTGACTTTTATAGATTTCAAAGTGATGATGTTGAAGTTGATTATAAAGTGGAAAACAGCGACAGCGACGGACTTTCGGGGAGAAGGTGAGATGCCGCTGATGCGTCTGTGTGGAGTCCTGCGATGTCCAAACAAACTATCTGAGCTTTATACTCGATTATGAACCAAAATTGCCCTGAAATCTGGATGTTGCCCAGGCCAGTCCTTTAAAATATTTCAGTCTTTTTTTCCCAAGATGCGACGTATAACAGAATCGCTACAGAAAAAAACGCTTATGTGGAGCCAACCAAGATGACAAATACTGGACACACACTGACAGGGAAGAGTTTTATTATTATATTATTATATAATAAGCTAAATGAGTTGAATAAGCTAAATGAGTTGAATAAATAAAATAAGTTGAATAAGTTAAATGAGTTGAATAAGTTAAATAGAAAAAAATGTATTGGGTGCACACAGGTGAACAACAGGTAAAAACAGGTGCACACTTGGCTTTACTGTATCTGGTGATATGAAATCTATTTAAATACTTTGACAAAGCATATTTTTTTAATTTTTTTTATTAATATAGTTTTCAGAACATGCAGATATCAGATGCTGAATGTAGTTTTTTGTTTTCGAGTTTGCACCTGACCAGGTAAACTCTCATTTTCAGTGAGCTGTTATACACCTATAAATGAGTTGAATCACATTTAAACATCCATAACTGAAGAGTTCAGAGTCTAAGGTTTCCAGAGATACAAATATGTCTGTTACAATTAAGTTCATGAGTGTAAAAATCATTTATAATCACTCGTGGAAGTCTGTTTTCTTTTATGCAGTTATGCTCTATGGGCAGAACTAGTAACATATGTATGGGTTGTTCCTAGTCGGCGTCCAGGGGGGAAAGAGTTAATTGTTCTGAATTAAATAGCTCGGAAATAGTTTGAGTTTACATGGAAATAATAATTCCGAATTGAGGTTTACACGGAAAACTCGTTAAATCGTTTTTAATTTCGTTCAGCGTCTGGGGTTCTGATTGGACAGAGACACGAACGTATTCACGTCGACCGGAAGAAAACACACACTTCAGCTGCTACCGGCTTTTCTGTCATCTCGGTTTGTCGTTACTCCACGGACACAAACACGATCCACACTTTTTTCCCCAGTCGTTCAAGAATTCTGTCAATTTACAGACAGATAAATGTCCTAATATGTGGCTCCGCGTCAGTATTTATCCATCATTTGTCTGTGTGTGTGTCCGTACTGTCCCAGAACACACGTCACTCCACGTCACATCACTCACGTGCGTTTGTTTACACTCGCAGACACAGATCCAAACACTGAGATTATATTCTTTTTACGGCCAATCGGTTTGAGTCTGGATTAAAAGGACATTTATTAGTGCAGACTTGTGATGCGAGGAGGAGCCTGTGTGAGCGGTGAGTGTTGGAAATATGTCGACTTTGAAGCTAGTTTTGGTTATTGTTTAGCGATTAGCTGCTGTAGCTCCCACACATAAACAGTCTGTTTTCTATTGGTCTATTGTAAAGTGACTACATTGTCCGTATATTTGTTACTGGACCTGCACTTGATATGTAAATGAGCTGTGAATAGACGTGTGAATTATGACATTTGTGCATATCATTAATTACCGCGGTGCGCACGTTTTTACGGCTAAAGACTAATAGCGGTAGTTTCTTTACTAGCTAGTAGTGATGGGTCGGTCGGCTCTTAGATCCGGCTCTTTGAAGCGAACAACGGGAGACTGATCCTTATTGGGAGTCGTGTTTTCTCTTTCTCTCACTTTTTTTTCTCTTCACGTCGCGTGCAGACTCGTGGTAGTTTGTCAGCGGCTGAAAATGAAACTTTCAGAAATGTGTGTGTGAAGAGGAAAGAAAAACGTGCATGTTTGTCTGCAGTTCAGCATAAAATAAATAAACCAGGACTAATCTTGGGCTTCAGAGAGGGAGAGAGATAGAGACCGAGTCCTGACACTCAGTCCTGGTTCAGTTCTGGTTTAGTCCCGTTTTACACATGGTTTACATCTGTTTTAGTCCTGGTTTAGACCTGGTTCAGTTCTGGTTTAGTCCTGCTTGCAACTATACAATCTGAAGAGCCTTGGGAGCCGAAAGAGCCAGCTGCATTTAGTGAGCCGAGCCAAAAGAGCCGGTTCTCTAAAAAGAACTGGAATACCCATCAGTAGTAGAATGTGACGCAAAAATGCCATTAGGTCGACCTACTGTCTGTAAATATGACACAAATAGGCAGAATAACAACAAATGTTGCCTAAATAAACCCAATTTAAAATCCACTAGAGCCAAACTTAAGTTTTTTAAACAATTCAAGATTTACAGTGAATTTTTACATCACTAAATATATCGGCAGCTCCAACTCCCATTATATCGGTTTCATATCGGCCACAACAAAATCCATATTGGTCGGGCTCTACTTTGGAATTAAGCTTAATTCCGAATAAATATTTTCAAGTGTTCGCATGGTCTTTTTAATGCGGAATTAATTTTTATCCAGAATAAATTATTATTATTATTTTTTTGGAATTAAAGCTCACGTGTAAACGTGGCAAATCCCTTTGAGACAACTAAAGTCACCTGAATCATCTGAGAGTTTACACCTCACTGTGATTGGTTAAATTCACCTGTCAATCACTCTGAACGTTGCTGAGGTTGACCAAAAGGAAATGTGGGCGGTGGAAAAGTGTCTGAGTTTGAATCTGAAGAAGAATGCGCTCAGGAGTGTGTAAATGAGCTGTAAACGGGGAGAACAGCTCACCTCCTCTTTCTTCTTCTTGCCGCCCTTCTCGTCAGCGTCCCCGGAGCTGGCCGCAGACTTCCTCTTGCCGTCCTTCTTCTTCTCCTCCTTCTCCTTGTGGTGCTTCTCCATGTACTCCGCGATCAGGTCGGGACAGTCCAGGTTGTCCTGAGGCTCCCACGTGTTGTCCTCACTGTGGAGACAAACAAATCCAAGAGTCAAACAAATGTGGATCATACAGCTGTTCAATACACAACCCGTATACAACTTTACATTTTACTCTGAGCCTGTTCCCTCAAGTACATTTTTAAATATTACACAGAAAAACAAAACCTGTGTATGTGTTGTCTGGCTTTCTTGACATACACTTTTATTGTTGTTAAACCTTCAGTGAAATCTGACCTGTTAAAAGCTCTGCTGGGGATAAAAATAGCCTGGACTATAAAAGACTGATACTTGTATTACAAATGATTCTAGAGAAGGACTATGGAGTTTAAAAACAAAGAGGAGCACTTCCTGTTTTACTACATGGCATTTCCATTTGAAAAAGAACTCTTAAATCTGCAGGGTTTGTGTGTGTTAAACACATCTGTTTGTGATGAGGGAACAACATTTTAACTAGGGATGGGCATTCAATTAAATTTACTTAATCCATTGTCGGGAGAATTAACAATCAATTTTCGATTAATCGGTGTTTCCCCCAGCACTTTATAGTTAAGGGGGCCGCCTTGACAAAAAGTGGCTCCTGCCTTGACTACGTCCATGTGAACCACGTGAATCATCATCGCACGTCTTTATGCAAGTTTAATTTCTGTAAAACATAAATATGTCAAAGCTGCATTAACTAATCAGCGCTGAAAAAAGTGCTTTGTGTTGTATCTTTTGTATTAAAGTCTCCATACAGTTTGATTGCTTGCTTCTGTGGGACTAAAGGACACAACTCAGTGGATTATGAGTGTTCTCTCTGTGACAGAGGGGTGTTCTGCTGATGGTGAGTCTGTTCTGTGTGTCGAGTTGGAGATGGTTCATGTTTTCAGAGATCAGACGTGTGCAGGTTTAGTGCAGCTCTTTATTTAACATCATTTCACTTTATGTTGGTCACTTTATTTTGGCTTCTGTTGTGATGAAAAGACTGAAAAGTGTTAGTTTTTTGGACTCACACGCACAAAACTTTATGTTGCAGTAACCGGGATACTGCATTTACATGCATCATGACGAAACTGAGACACTCAAAAAATCTGATCATACCCGGGACACTGATGTGCTGTAAACACTCACTGAGTGGAACAGTGACCTCCAAGGAGCCAGAGCCCAAACGTGGGACTGTGAGACCGAGACTCCAGTGTTGTTGTCAGATACAGCCTCGTCTCCTTACACTATGTACAGGAATCTACATTTGGCTTGTCGATTAAAAATTAACGTGATCGACCACTTATATATGAATGTGGTGTTTAGATGCAGTTTGGGTTGCTGGTTCAAAACTCACCATCGTGCTTAGATTCATGTTTGGAAACTCACAATATGCATTTTAAACCAGTATGTAATTAGCAGTGTGATCTGAATTTTCCTTTTTTTCCCTAAATTTTTTTATTTTATCTTTTTTTTTTTCTCTCTCATTTTATTAACTAATGTATTTAATTGTATTGTATTTATTTCAGATTTTATTTTCTTTTTTTCATTTTTTTTTCTTTTTTATATGTTTTTTTTAATTAAGTAATTAATTTATTTCAGATTTTTTTTCTTTTTTTACATTTTTTCTTTCCTTTTTTTTAATTAATGTATTTATTTTTCTTTTCTGTTTTTTTTTTCTTTAAAAATGTTTATTTTATTTTAATTTTGTTCCTTTATTACATATTGTTGCTTCATTATTTATTTATTAATGTATACATTTCCATTAATCAAACAAAAAAAAAAAAAAATTTGTCGAATAATCCTGCCCATCCCTAATTATAACAGCAGAAAATTGTGTTAATGTAGGACCTTATCTTAAAAAGAGGTGGAGGCCCTTGAGGAACACTGTCTTGTTACTCACTCGGAGAAGCCTTTCCACTTGAGCAGGAACTCGACTCGGCCCTTGTGCACGCGACGGTCCAGCACCTTCTCCACCACGTACTCCTCCTCTTCCTCCTCGGCGACCTCTGCTGGAGGAGCCTCTGCCGCCGGCTCAGGGGCCGCGGGGGCTGCGGCGGCGGCGGCGGCCTCCTCTTCCTCCGGCTTCTTGGTCTTCTTCCCGGCCACGGCTGCCATGCTCGCGTCGACACGGACTGCTGCGTAGCAAACAGAGCGCGCGTCACGTTTACTGACACTTCGCAGAAACACAAGTATTGATCAAACACGATGCATTAGCTCCATTTAAAAATAATCCAGTCTGCTCGTCTAGAGTCTCACGTCTGCTCCAAACCACAGCTTTTTACCGACAGGACTCTAGACCTCTGCATTAATGTGCAAAGTCGACTTTTCAAAGCTTTTAACATTGTTAGCGTCGTTTCCTTCTTATTTACCGTCTCGAACTTATATTTTCGATGATTCGTGCATGTTTGAGCAATCTTTAAATCGCTTATTTTCACAACGCTACACTGTAAATTAACTCCGCTTTAAACCGAATTATAGTTTTGCATCGACTCAGCGCACACTGCCATCGTCGCCTTTGTTTTTTTGATTTGTGGCTCTGCGTCGAGATCGATGCCCCGCTAAGTAATTCCTCACCACAACACTAGGAGGCGAGGATTTAAAAACGGCGTTCGTGTTTACAAAATGAAGCAGGAAAGCGGTAGCCAGTCTGGCGCCACCTAGTGCCTCCACTCAATTTCATTTCTCTCCAGCGACTAGGTCAGGATTCAAAATGCATTGGAGGATTTGCAAAAACCCCGTAAGAGCAAGTTCGGGCACCAGCCAATCAGCGAAGAGCCGTACATTTTGTGTTGGCGATGATTCCCGAGATCGAGGATTTAAAGCCGGAAAAGAGAATGTTTGGTTAAAATTCACTGAACATTCTCTTTGTTCCAAGTTATTGTCCTTCCTACGGGATTTGGGAAAAGCTTAATATACCATTTATCCATTACACATTACATACGTCACGACCAAATAGCAGCGGTCAAAGCAGACGCTCTGTGGAGGGGTTCAAGGAAGGGATGGGCATTCGATGAAATTTTCTTAATCGATCGTCGGAAGAATTAACGATCGATTATCGATTAATCATTAACGTTTTTATATTAAAATTATCATCATTATTACTATCTGCACGACTAATCTGCATAAATAAATTCAACTTTACGACATATAAACCGTACCCACTCTAGATCCACATCAGCTGTTTGACATTATAATGTGTTTAATTCAGTTTTGTTCAACTCTCACAGAAACGAAACTTAAAACCACATCACTAATTTACAAAAACTTAGCGAAGATAAAAAAAAAAAAATCTGTTCTTGTGGCTGATGTGGTTCAACTCCTGTCGGATTAAAGGACATGACTCAGGTGAATACAGGTTAGTGTGAACGTATCTGCGTTTGTCAAAACCAGGACACCGTACGGGGGGAGGGAGGTGGGGACTCGTCATCGACATTGAGCGACTCTCACCTGGTAAAACTTTTTCCCACTTGGACACCGAAACATATGTGCTGCTTTGTACACTGTGCACATGGACTCACACTTGTCCCGAACGCAACGGAAAGTGTGGAATTTCTTGTACAAATCATCGTTAAATCCACATTTGTGCTTTGGTACGTTGCAGACTGACCGAATGTTTCTGTTTGCTCGTTCCTTCTGATGCAGAGACACATGTACAGACCTGTTTGGTCACTCTACGCTACGCACAACAACCTACATTCAGTTTGTCGATTAAAATTAACATAATCGATGAAATTCTTAATGATCAATTATCGATTAATCATGCCCATCCCTAGTTTGTGTACATTTGTTGATGTCGTGTAGGTGGGATGAATGCGACCCGGCCGTTCAGACTGAAGTCGCACGTCAAAAGATCAGATATGTATCGGTTTTAGGAGCACATATCCAAGTGCCCTGGGTCAAATTAGAAAAAAAATCTGATCTATGTCATTCAGACTTTCGTTAAAAGATCAGATGCAGGAGCACAGGGGTGAAAAAAATCAGATTTGGTTCATTTGAGGCTGCAGTCTGAACTTAGTCTTAGATTATAACTCTACAGCAGGCACAAGCACAATATGTTCTTTACAAAGACTCGCTGATTATTGACCGTTTGAAACGACTGGACCCTGATTGGACGGTACTCTGCGTTCTGTGTGGAAGCCGTGTTAAAAAAAAACCTTCTGTGTTTAAAAAAAAAAAAAGTGAAAGCCTCCTGAAGCAGCAGTCTGGTCCTGTTGCACATGGCAGACATATGACTGCACACGCCCACACGGTTACATAAGCAGCTTCTGTCCAAAACCAAACACATGGCTCACTGCATCCTGAGGGGGGCACAACCAATCACTGACGCTATATTGATATTTGGCACTGACGTTTTGGATGCCAGGCTCCGTTTGTGCGTCAGATGAGTCGTTTTTAACAGACTAAGTGAGTGAAAATATGAGTTTAAAGTCCAGATAAATACATTTTGTCGAGTTCATCTGTAAACCTCACTACTATAAAACATAAATTTCGTCCCTCGGCCACCAATCTTGGCACCACTGTAGATTTTAAACTTAACGAGCGGGTCAATTCTGTGGTTAAATCCAGTTTTTATCAGCTTCGTCTTCTATCCAAAGTGAACTTTTTTTTAATCTTTTAATAATTTTTAAACAGGTCATGCATATGGGGTCAGACTTATCATCAGAAGACCCATGTTCAGGTGGTATTTCAAGTTTTAAAAGCGTTATCAAAAAGGAAAAAAAAGGAGGACGACAACAAAAAAAAGTGACGATTTTGTCCCCAGGGATTTCTGTCGCTGTTTGAATTTGCCATCAGAAACGTGGTACGAGGTTCATCAATAATATACCGTATTTTTCGGACTATAAGTCGCCTTTTTTTTCATGGTTTGGGTGTTTCCTGTGACATATACTCCGGTGCGACTTATATATTAAAGTTTTCAGACTGAAGCCGCGAGAGGCTCTAGGTTTGTGCGTCAGTATCTGGTACGATTATTACTCCTGTACCACTAGGGCTGGGTATCATTAAGAAGTTGCCGATACGATACATACCTCGATACACAGGCCACGATACGATACATATCTCGATACAGTGAGCTTTCGATTCAATACGATATATTTCAAAACGATTCGATACAGTTCAGTAAAAATAAAGGCTAAATCATGTCTGTGATATTAAAAGTCTTTGTTAAATCACTTCTTCTTGTGCAAAGTTCATATGAAACACAAACATTTTAATCATTAAAACTGTGAAAATGTCAAATGTGTCGCATAAAAAAGTTTCCTTCCTCTGAACAAACAACAAAACAGTAGCTCTGTAACGAAATAATTTAGTAAAATACCCCAAAAAATACTCTTGGCGATATATTGATACAGCAGCCCACGATATCGATACTGTATTATCACATTAAGCGATACAATATATCGATATTTCAATATTTTTGCACACCCCTATGTACCACTGTCACTTCACATTCTACTGCGCATGTCTCCTGTAGAAAAAGCCGCTGTCTCGCTGCAAATAGTGAAATATTCAGCCGAAAACTGTAATCGAGCAGCAGAAAGAAAGTTTGGAGTGAGCGAGAAACTTGTGAGGGACTGACGGAAAACGGGGATGGAGAACACAACTTCACCGGGAGGATGCACCATGAAACTTTCCTGGAAGTCACTGGATGAATCGACAAAGTCTGGACTTCAGTGACACCGAAACCATCCTGTCGGGATTCAGAAAGACCCGAATAATTCTAACTGGAACTGATGCCGAGTCTAACGACAGCGACGCAGAAGAGGAAGTGGCGCTCTGTTTACATCATGGATCTATGGTTTATCTCCGGATGTCACGTAGAAGTGACACAGAGGACGAAGAATTCAATGGATTGAGTGATTTACAGTGAGATAAAGAGTTTTGGTAAACTTATGTTCTGTTGTTTATGCTATAGTTATCTGAATAACTTAATGTTACGTTAACATATTAAATCCTACATACAACCTTTAACTGTTTTTTTTTTTTGTTTCAAATTGTCAGTAAAAGTTTAAAACACCATTACAGAGACGGAGCAGCCTTGTAATTATGATGACCAAAAAAAAAAAAAAATGAAAATCCATCAACTGTGGACGTAGTGAGGCCAGATAAACATCAGCCAATAGAAAACAAGGCTCCCTCTTTATCTATTGGCTGTTAGGTTGTCAATCAAACTCCCTACGTTTCTAGTGTAACTGACTCGGGGATTATGTGGTTTATGCAGCGGTTCTTAGAGGCTTTTTTAAACTGTAGCTTCCTCGCAGTTCACACAAAGTTTGTTGCGACGGCGGCGAGAATCCACGACCAGTTCGCCGTGAAAGAAAGTCAGTTTTTGAGGTCGCTGAAAGAAGAAAAGAAAAGGAGCGAAGCCAAACGGAGGCGATTCTTGGAGACTCCTTCCAGCGATGCCGCGACTGAAGCAGACGAAGGGTCTAAAAACTGACGCATCGGTCGCTAAATTACTTCCAGACAGGTCACTTCAACAGTAATTCTGAACGCGCACTGGATGTAAACAAGCGTGATTTCTAGAGTTAAGAGGCGGGAGGAGACGTTTCTACTGAGGAGCTGTGGAGGAGGAAGGTGATGTCATGCATGCGCAACATTTGGAAAATTATTTCTCTTACCTTAAAAAATCCTCTATACAACCTTTAACATATTCTGTTGTTTTTACTAGAACTTGCCTTTCGAGATGAAATGTCGGTTCCTGGTCTCTGATTTTACAAAATACATTTCCCCAAAAAGTGCGACTTATAGGTTTTTTTCTTCTTCATTACGCATTTTTAGGCTGGTGCGACTTATACTTCTAAGCAACTTAAAGTCCGGAAAATACGGTAAGCCTTTCTATATTTTCCTAACACCGTCTAGAACGTGTGGAGGTTCCCGTGTCCCTCTGCTCTGAAAAAGTCCTGCTCCTGTGCACTTCTCACACACCGGGAGGCTTCAGTCTGAGCTTCAGAGCAGCACACACACACACACGACACACACACAGACACACACACACACAGAGACACACACACACACACGCTACAGGCTTCAGGAAACATCGGGACATTTTGTTTTCTCTCATATTTTCTCTCACATTTCCCTCATGTCTGAAGGTCTGACCCGAACCGTCGCGTTGTGGTGTCGTTAAAATAAA